TTGTTTTATGAACTTACGTCGACTGCATCTTCTGACACTCGGGGAGCCTTTGTTCTGGCGAAGATGGGATCTCTGTGTGTTTTGCAGCCTGGATTTGCTTACGGGCTGATTACTGGAGAACTTTCTGCCATGTCTCCTGCCATTCAGCACCATGTTCTTGGATTCTCCCATCTACTTCATACCAGCTGGCGGTATGGAGAAGGCGCATTGAGCTTCTGTGTGCTTGTGAGAAACCATTCAACAAGACGGCGACAGGTACAATGGGAATAAGGTCAGATCTGTCGTCTTTAATTGTTTCTTTAGATTTGACTTCACCTGTTCAAAAAAAAAAAAAACGTTGTTTAATGTACTTTTGATATGATTATATTGCCAATAATACTTCAACAACTTCAACACAAACAGTACAGGTTCATTTCATTACCAGCATGCCATGAACTATGAATTCACTTCAAATGTTTGAGATGGTTGCTTTTAAATTATTCTTAGGTGCATAGCGCCACCACGTGGCTACTTTTGAAAATAAGATAAGCTGCCTGGTTTTACCCACAAACGTAGAAATTTCAATCGACATGGTGTTGGAAATGACGTCTCGAATAAACCAACATTTTCTAAAATTGATAGTATGCACAAATATCACTGATTTGTTACATTAATGCACTTCCCCGTAGTGGCTTAAACACTCCCATATTAGCGACGGTGCATTTAAATCCCCACACAAACCACATTAACACGCGGATTTAGGGTTACACATCAAATTATAGCTTTACTTAAACTGTAAGCAACGTTGATGTTTTAAAGTGCGAATCAACGAGTTATGTTGCGTTACATAAGGCTAACACCCTAAATTAGCAGTAAAAAGCACTTGATATATGCTAACTAGCTTAGCATCGAGCTAACAAAACAATGAGACTTGCCGAACCGGCAGAACATCGATTTCTAAAACAGAGTTCTAGGTAAATGTTCCAGCATCATAATAACTATTATAAGAGCATGTTGGTGCAGGATAAGTATTATTTCTACGCACATTTTTATAGATACTGACATTAACCGAAAATAAAGAAGCATCACACCGGGCCTAATGTGTGGCTAACTGCGATTGCTAGGCGACACCCGGAACAGCCCTGTGCAAGAGTGAAGTCGGATACTGAATCGACGATCTAGCTTAAATACTCACGTTTTTCCTTCTGGCTCAAGCCTTATCCATCATCAAAGTCCAATGCAATTCCAAAAATGTCACATTGCCGGAAAACTGTTCGAAAATATTACATTAAAATTCAAGATGGCGGCCGTTTCCAGATCAACAGAGACGACAGGACAACCGAGCCGCCTCGGAAAGAAATAGACCCAAAATGTTTGAATTATAGGCCGTACTTTGACGCTCAATCCATCTTTTTAACTCCCAAACTGTCCGTATAATACCGTCGCGCAAAGAAAAGGCGGCTGGATGGTGGTCGAGCGCTATAAATGCCTCGACAAACTCTAATGTATACAAAGACAGCGTTGTTGTTGTACCCCTTTAAATGTGCACTTGCGGCTCAGTGCGCTTGTGTTTCCGTAGAGCAGCAACAGCATCCCACCGCACCATCGCCTCGCACAAATTCACTCATTTTCTGCTTTAGCTTTAATGTGGTATTATATTATATTATATTATATTATATTATATTATATTATATTATATTATATTATATTATATTATATTATATTATATTATATTATATTATATTATATTATATTATACAAGAGTTATCTTATCTTTTGCTTTGAGTTGTAACGTTACATTATATGTAAACATATATGCATACTAATATTTTTTGAATTTTATGCAAATACTAACAACTATTTAGTAATTGAATATATATTTAATAAAGTCTATTGTGGCAATAAAGTCTGTTGCTATAAAATATGTTTTCACATACATTGAACAATGAAAATGATCTTTAGAAATTGATTTTTCAACATAATCTTGACCGATTTTAGTATTATTGTCACTAAAGAATGGTAAAGAAAATTTACAAGACAAAATAAACAAACATAAAAACTCAACAAGCAAAACCAAAGCTAAAATACATTTAAGCATACACAGCCATGTCTGAATATATAATACATTAAAGAGTTTGTTCACTTAAATATAAAGAAATGTTGTTAATCTAATCACTCACATACTATACAAGATATCCTTATTTCTTCATTAGAATAGTAAATACGATTTTAAGCTGAAAGTGTGGTCCTTTCTCATTCATAAAATAAAAGTCTAATTAAACTTTGAGAATTTAAGAAAGAAAGAAAGAAAGTGACTCATGCAATACGCTGAAGTCTTGTGAAGTGAAGCAGTATTTCTGTGCAAGAAACAAAACATTATTTACAACATTATTACTTTTCATCCATGGTCATGGAAAACAATCCTGGGGGTATTTACAACTGTCTGGAGCATGAGCTTGCTGATGCAGACGGATCTATGTGTGGAGACAAACATGTGAGCTGGCAGCTTTAGATTTTTTTATGGTTGCAGCAACCCATGAGTTTGAGATCATCATTATGTGACAAGAAGCAAAATCCAGACTCTAGGATGTTGTAAATACTGTTACAAATAACTTTTTCTTGACTGAGCCTTTCACTTTAGAAAACCTAAAAGTTTTATCGGGAGCAGTTATGCTACCTTTATTGGTTTTTCTGAATCTGTAACTGTTGGGAGCTGTTGATGACATTTATATTAGAATCAAAAAGTAATAAGTAACGAGATATCTAAAGAAAAAAAGAAAGAAAGAGTCATATTTGAGGGTGAGTAAATGAACTTAAATCTATTTTAATTTTGTTGTGAAATATCCCTTTATTATAACTTGTGAGAGATGTTAAGTTATATGTTTTGATCCAGTTCCTTCAAAAATATGCTAAATAATTTAATGTACGTTTTTAATAAAACAAAAAGGAAAGCTACTCTTTGTGCATTTTCTTGTCAAGTAAACAGGCCTCACTTATAATTAAACACTATCAAGTTAAAGGAAAATAATAAGGTGCTATAATGTTTAATTAACATTTTCAGCCAGTGTCAGATATTTGCTACAAATAAGCAAATATATTGGGATTTGGGAGCTTCTAAACAGATGCTGGTGATCACTGATCAGTAAACAAAATGTTTTAATCCTGATGTCTGCTACATCTGATGTTTTAATTCACTTCACACTACTGGTTTTTATAACTTCTTTCAAAATTCAAACTGAACAGAATTCATCTGAATTCTGAAGTCACATAGTCTCTTGAAGACTGACTTTGCAACTGCTAAAAGTATGTTTGTATAGTATGAATGTAATCTGGACAGGCAGTATTCATTATGTTGTCATTATTATGTAACCTGCAGTTTCAGTTGCATCTCTTCACACAAATGCATTCAAACGCTGCGTCCAAAATTCCATACTTTTCAGCAAAATAGATGGGAAATGTTGAAAGGCCAGAATACATTCATAATAACGAACTTTTAAAAATGAATTTTAGTGGTACTAATTATTTATTCCAAATAAGTACCCATCTCAGGTGTGCATGATTTTGCCAAGAACAATGTAATCCTGGGCTAACATTTATGTTGATCATGAAACAACTTTTTTGTTCGAAAATGTAATCCATACTTAGTCCCTACCCCTAAACCCAATCATAATTTCCTAAATCAGAGGGAAATAATAGTATGACAATCACATAGAAGTGCATAAACCTAACTGTAGGCCTAAAATCGACATAAATGGTAAATGGTATCCCTTAATTCTGATTGGCTGATTGAAATGTTGTTCCAGGATCAATATAGATGTTAATCCAGGAACATGTTGGTAAAAACAGGTTGGTGTTGTCTTTTGTCACTTCCTTTTTTTTTTGGCTAATATAGGGGGTTCTAAAATTTTGCACTCAACCAAAGTGCGGTATCAGAAACTACTAAACTGCATGTATGACAGTGGCAACAAAATAAATTGAGCTCTTTCATAATTTGATTAAAACTGTCATCTAAGAAAAAAAACACAAAGTATTTTATTTAGTTTCTGAAGAATGTTTATGTTATACCAAACTTAACATGTTGTCACATGGAATTAATGGGATGATGTAACAGAACAACTGCTTAAAAAATGTTTACTGAATCTAAAAACATCGACGTTGCAAAATGTAAAACTCTATTAAAATGATCCATAATAATTATACATTGGCAAAAAATTAATAATGCAATGTAATTTGGTTTTATTTCTCAATTTCAACTTCTCAGAGTTAACTTTATTTTAAGTTCTGTAAAGAGATTATTGAATTTTTTACTATATGAACACTTTTTACTATATTTTACACCTTTTACTTTAAATTCATAATAAATCTGATGCTAATCATTGGAAATTCACTTTCATAAGAAAATAAATTAATGTTTTAATGCAAAAAAATGTAGGCCACTTGTGTATTTTATGTATTTTTTATGCAAGTTATACTTAATTTAAGGAAATGTAATAACACTATCAATGCATGTTAGACTTTTTTTCCCTGATGTAATGACTATAAGCTAGTAGGTTGAATATTAATGCAACTCTCAATATGTCTTGTAGCCTAACTTTGTTCTTTTTGTATATTTTATATCGTTTTCTTGCATGACAACAAATACAAGAATCGATTGGATCAAAAGAAATGTCAGATCTCCATCACTAAATTACAATTAAATACTCGCTGTAAAACATCCCTCCGATTTGATTTCTTACTTAAAAGCTAAGTCAACGTGATATATTTGCCGAACAGAAAAGCAGTGATGGAAAAATGTGACCAAAACATTTGCCGCTAGATGCGGAAATAATGACAGCAGAAATTGAAAAGCATGTTGAGCCTGGCCTTGGATCAGTTTTTTCAAATATGAATCGTGGCTTGCCACAGACGGGAACATCAGCAGAACTGTTCCTGGATCAGCCGTAAACACCGGAGGCTGAAGCACGCACACTGATGATGTCATTCGCCGAGAACAACAACAGCCTCTCACAGGGACTCTCAGCTCAGCTTAGCAGCATAGTTTGCTCTAAAGTGCTGACCAATTCCCACTAAATACAGCGCTATTTTTTTAATTAAGAGATCAATCAAAACATCACGCCAGTTTAAGTTAAATTACAGTACAGGGAAAACGTACATAAGATATTTTCTACGTGTCGCTAAACATTATCAGGCCGCAGTGACAAGCTAACTATGCGTTACTAGCGGTCGGTGCAGCTATTTTGCATACAGTATTTGGTTTTAAAATAAATTACACGATAATTTTTGTCATCAGTGCACCGAAAACGGTAACATGCTAAGTTGACATTGAGGTTAATATCATCTTGACATCTCAGGAATCTCTTATAATGTTAAAGGTAAGTTATTGCTACTTTATTTTAAGCGTTTTTTATATTTAGTGTTGAGGTAAAGTTGTTCTTATATTTGTTCAGACTTTCTTCTTAATGATAACATTTCATAAAAGTATTGAATGCAAATTCTAAATAGCGAAATCATATTAGCAGCCAAATGACTATCAAAGAACAACATTGTTCATAGTCACATAAATAGTGCTAATGTTGTTTTGAAGTCAAACTTACAGCCGACTAGTCAAAGTACCATAGTAAACAGTATAGGGAGAATGTCATAAGTTGTCACTGAATGTGCAAATATAAAACCAACTTTACCTCAATATATTTAGTTTCTTAATTTAACATCAAATATAGAAGTCGCAGACTGATACAAGTGTTAATATAATGCATACATTTGATCAATATACTGTTGAGATGCTCTATGTTCTTGCATATGATACACAATGTGTTCATTATTAGAATGTTTGCTCCAATATGAATTGTTAACATTATTCAACACTTTTATGATTTGAATCTATTCAAATAAAATGTTGTTTTTTTTAGTTTACAAAGGGCTAAGTTCCTGTTTTCACAGGATTTTTAATCCGATAAATATTGGACAATACAGTGTGAAAAGGGTGTCTAAAAACATTTAATGAGTTCCAGAGGTTTTCACCTCGATTGCATTTTTAATGTGAACACTTGTGGTCCAGTGTTCAAACTGCCACAAATGACCAAGACATCCCCTCCTAACTCCAAAAAATTGCAAGTTTTTAGCAGTCCAGGGCTGCGTTCCCCAAAATCATCATAAACTTAGTTGACCACTTATATACAATATATAACAATCAAATTAGGATTATGATGCTTTTGAGAAATGCAGCTCTACACAGACCAATATAGTTCACGCATAATTTTACATTCACTCAATTTTACACATACTTTCACCTTTTAAATGAATGTTTTGCAGGTTCATTTTTAAATATTAAATATTGCGATATAAAGGGAAGCTGTTTGACCTCTTTTACAAGATGTAAGATCAGCCTTTGGTGTCTCCAGACTATGTCTGTAAAGTTTCAGCTCAAAATTTCCATCAGATTATTTATTATGGTCTTCAGAATATGCCAAATTTAGTGTCTGTGTATATTGTAACTGTTATTGTAGCCTGTGGCTTTAATGCAAATGAGCTGCTTCTCCCAGCCCAACATTAGTGGGCGTTACATCAGATAAACAGCAGTCGGTGATAGAGACAGACACGATTGAAGCTGAAATACAGCTCATTAATCAAAAATGCCAAATAACTTTATTTCATATATTTGTGGAGTTTATTCAAGCCTTTCTAAAATGATGAGGCTCACACAAATGCTGTTTGCAGTTCACACACACACACACATGCACATATTAGCGTTTACTGACACCAAACAGCCATGGTGATTATAGCGGTTAAGAATTAGATAGCGTTTTGTCTATTACTGTCTATTATAAATGCTCTGTTTTAAAAAACGTTTTAAACATAAAAAGCTTATAAAAATCACAGAGCATTGGAACAGACTTTTTAATCGCAGTTTATTTGCAAAAAAAATAAAAATGTTCTGTGGACATGTGTATACATGTTATTATAGAAACATGGCACCTGTCAATCAATTCAGTGGGTGGGGAAAATCTCACTCCTACATCACGTTGCATTGGGCCTCAAAATCACTGGATCCAAAAATCCTATTTTAATGTCAAGAAATAAAAAAAAAAACATTTGTTGGGTTTATATTACTCCAATATGACAGTGGACACTATACATACAGACAGTTCTGTCCAAACAGCCTTCAAAAGATGATTTTTATCATAGGTGCCCTTTAAAATAAAATCACATTTGCACACCCCTTGAAAACACATCCTAATGTCAGGTGAAAAGAGAAATATCTTGCAGGTTAAAAAACGTGTAGATGACCAGTGTTTTAATACTGTGCTTGTTGAGTTGCACATTAACAAAAGCTTTCATTTATGAACAAAATGATTTCATTAAAACACTTGTCATGGTTGCATAAACTGAATGAATGATTTGTTTCCCCAATTGAATTGGATCAGCTGTAACAGTGTTGGAGTTAACCAAGAGCACATTATAAATGATGTTTTGTTTCCCACAAGCTGCAGGCAAACATCTCTATGTGAGAGAGCGGGACAAAAAAAGGATGATCTCGAAGATTTAACCAAGCACTGACAAACATGCCTCAGCGGAAGAGAGCCCTCGTTCCCGTTAATACGAGGAGAAGGGCTAAAGCAGACGATGATTACTTCCCTTTCAACTCCCTGCCGGTGGAATGTCAGCTCCACGTGCTCTCGTTCCTCAGCGAGGTGGACAAATGTAACTCTGCCCTGGTGTGCTCGAGCTGGAGTTGCTTAGTGCGTTCTGGAAAGCTCTGGAGAGTTGCGGACTACTCTCGCCGTGGGGTGTTTCATTTGGGCCAAGAGGGTCTGCTCGTATCCAACCGCGAGTTTGAGCGCTGGAAATCTTGGGTTCACCATTACACCCATCATCTTATATCCCGTGGTGCTAGTTTGCTCACTCTCAAGGCCAGTTTCGATCTAGGCGACCAGTGCAATAAATGGGGCGAACTTCTGTCACATCTTCTAGAGAACGTGCATTGTCGGGATCTCAGTCATTTAGACCTGAACTGGACGTTTACGCTCCTGGAGCCCCTTGACCTTCGCGTCCACACCAGTTCTAGTTCTCACCAAGACAACATCACCAAGATGGACCAGGTCAATAACTTCCAGATCCTCCTGGCCAGACTCGTCCACAGCTGTCCCAGGATCACCAAAATGCGATTGCACTTCGACTGGTCCGAAACATCAGTTGCGCTCATCACTCAGTTTCAACACCTTCGTATATTAGAGCTCAAGTACTTTTGGGTGTTCAAAGGAGTCAGTCCGAACACACTCCAGACGGTGACCAAGTCTCTCCCCAATCTGAAGTCCCTAACGCTGCATGTTCTTGTACCACTTCGAAATTTAGGCATCTCGTACACTCTCGAATCCCTTTCACTCGAGTTTTTAGATGTGTCGCCTAGTCGAGGGTTGGTTTTTTCAAGACTTAACCTTCCAGCGCTACGAGAGCTGCGGGCTAAAAAGATTGTTCGGGGCATTACTCTGGACCGGCGGACTCGACTGCGCATACAGAGCCGTTGGCCCTGCTTGTATCAGGTCTTACGTGAAGGGACCCCCAAACTTCAAGCTCTTAACAATGAAAGACTACTTCCGAACTGGAAGGAGCAAAGCTACAGGGAGCTGACGTCAATCCTCCAGCAGTCCTGCTACTGTCTTCAGCATTTAGACAGTTGGCTTTGGTGAAGCTTAGACTGAAGTAATGAAAGGCTCCAAATGATGGCCTGAAGGGACACGGATGCTTCCTGAAGAAAAACATTTGATGGACCACAAAAAACACACATTTCTGATCCTCTCTAATTACAAATAGCTGTAATTGAATTATACATCAGCCCTTTGCTTGCATGTAATTGGATTAAATTTCAATACACATCCATTTCCTTAGCCGTGCAGTGAGTTTTGGCTCATTTTGTGCTGCGGAGGTTTACATTCCTGGCCGAAGTGTGTTTATTTTTTAGGAGCTTATAGGTGAATTCAGGAAAATTGTTCTATTGTGCAAATTGGAGGATAAAGCGGATTGCAGAAGCAGAGTGTGGGTCATTTTGACAAGAGCTCTTTATTCCTTTAAACATTTCAGCTCTTGTGTGTATCGGTTGGACGTATTAAAAAGAAAAAGAGGTTTTGCCTTATTTTTGTGTTTTTGTCCCCTAAATATGTTTTATTTCAGTTTTCAGCAAACTGTTACCAAACCGTGGACATTCCTGATAATCTGTAGCAAACTTTTAAACTTACTTTCATGAACTGGAATTGAATTAGAAGGAGTTTTATTATTTTTCAACCTTTAGGCTTGAGTATTTTAAGGATTTTCACATATGTGGAAATGTATTTTGTTGCATGTGTGTATCCACATTTAGAGCTGATCATTAACAGTTAAACAGTTGTGACTTCACACAAAATTATAATTATGTCATCATTTATTCTAGTGCATTTAAACCTTTGAGTTTCTTTCTTTTGTTTAACACTTTTCAAGTATTCGATATTTGAAGAGTGCTGAAGAAGTACCATGGAAGCTAATGTTTTATAACAGATTATGAGCTAGTCAGGAAATGATAGCAGAATTTAAATTTTTGGTTGAATTAACCCTTTAAATTTAGGGCCTTTTTAAGTAAATAACTTGCACTGCTAGGAAATCCTTTAAATTATGAGACATCAGCTGATAAATGAATAAGCATACACAAGCATCAATGTAAATCTACCTTTAAAACAGTGTGCCTTTAATGATGGCTTTTTTATTTTATGAAATGACTATATTGCCTGAAAAACAATAGACTGAGTCTTAATTTTTTTGTGAATTTATCATGTGCATATGAGTTATTTTGTTCTGTTCTGTTTCTTAGCTATTCCTTTCCTTGTAAACAACTTGATGGATGAAAAGTGATTTGTGTGCAGTTCCTCATGCTTGTCCACATGATGGCAACAAACCATTTTATTTTCTAGCTGTGCTGTTTTTTTCTGCCACCCTTAAAACAACAGTCTGCAGTGGTGCTGTGATGAAATAATAATAAAAAAAGATAAAAATTGTTGAGAAATACATTGGTGCGGTGATTAATGAATTCTGTGCACTGGCTGGAATTGATACAGCTACAATAAACTGAATTGATTTTACTAAATTACCTGTGCTGGTTTGCTTTCTTTTTGAAATGCAGTTCCTACAGGTTAAGCTTCATAAGTAAACAAATGGTTCTTTGCTGCTTTCAGATCCTGCCCATCAGTGTTAATATGGAAATGTTATATATGAAATAACATTTACTTTTAAATCATTTAAATTTAAAGTAAGCAGTATATTTGAATTATACTTAATTTTAATTATTTTGATTTATATATAAATATGTATATAAAAATAATATAATTTAGTATTAAGCTAAGATGTTAGAAAAAAGGGTCACAATAAAGGTATAAAAACTATTTTACAAATATTTATTTCTACCCATTCTCTAAGAAAGGAAAATGGCTTGCCTGTTTGTTAATATTTATGATATATGCTATACTACAAAATATTTTGTTAGTAAAATAAATAAAACAGCATTTAATTCCAACATTATGTTTCAATTTTAAGATTTACATTTCCAACACCACTTATATTTCAATCAAGTTGTATTGTGATAAGTAAAACAAAAATGTTTGGTTTAATTATTAAACAATAATATTTTCAGCTAGCTCTGCGACTCTCGCATGGTCACCCACTGAAGCTATGCAGGGCTGCACCTGGTCAGTACCTGGAAGGGAAACCACATTGGAAAAACCTAGATTGCTGCTGAAAGTGATGTTGGTGAGACCAGCAGAGGGCTTTCAACCTGCAGTCTGTGGGGGTCCTACTGCCCCAGTATATTAATGGGGACTCTATAGAGGAATTACCAACCTACATCACACATGACGTCACATGGGTTCTCTGCGCATACCGATTGCAAAAAAAGACCGGTTGCAATTCTGTGGTAGGATGCCAAAATCAAACGTCCAAAAAAAAAAAAAAAAACTTCAATTTTACCAGACACCACACTGCTTTTATAATGCCAACCGCAGATGTCTTTGGCTAACAGCCATTAAGAGCTGGAGTGAGAACCTAATTAAAAATGCTTGACTCTGCAGTTCTCATTTTATATCTGGTAAGTTCACGCTATGCTGAATAAATACATTACTCATGTTTGATTGCAGTAATGTATGATTTCAGCAAAAACAGATAAATATGGTTAATTAAACTGCGGACACTGAATGCTTAGAATGAAATGTGAAAATGTAAGTTTACATACCCTGCCGTACAGGTGCACTTCACTGTCAGAATGCAGTTGTTTTGCTTGATGATGATTACCCAGGCCTTGTACAGTTCTGTCTTGTCTCTGGCAAGGCAGAACCTCGGTTTTTTAACACAGTTTTCAATCTGGTCATCATGGAACATTATTTCTTGCACATGACCACACCGAACAAAATTGTAGACATCCAAAGACTTGCAGGCCTTTAACTTCTCTCTTGTAAAAACACTTGGAGTTTCAATGAGTTGTATATTTTGGGCTGGACGCTTGGCAATTTCATCTTATCCAATATTCATTGGTAGGGTGCTATCGCAAATAGACCTGTCAGACGAATGCTGTTCACTTTAACATTAATTTTGCAGAATAACTGCTTATCACTGGGTGACAAGCTGTTATAATACGATGAAAGCATTATGTAAATAATGTATATAATATGTAATCAATATAACTAATAACTTGTAATCTCTAATACAACAACAAACTCTGTACTGCATCAGATGTCATTCCCTCACTGTTTTTTTGCAACCTCGCTGTGCATACATTCTGGATATTTACAAACATGGTAATTTGTCTATGCTGCTCAGTAAGCTCCGTCTTTCAGATAAGACCTTAAACCGAGAAACAGACTGTCTGCGGTCATTAAAAATCCCAGGATGTCCTTTGAAAAAGAGTAGGATTTTAACCCCGGTGTATTAACCCAAATTTGCCTGCTGGCCTCTGTCCATCATGGCCTCCTAACTATCCCCATATCATAATTGGTTTCATCTCTCTGTCTCCTCTACACACAATATGGCTGCCATGTCATCATCCAGGTGGATGCTGCACACTGGTTGTGGATGAGGAGATTCCCCCCGAAATTGTGTAAAATGCTTTAAGTGTCCTGAAAAGCGCTATATGAATGTAAGGAATTATTATTATTTTTTTTGATTAATGGACTTATGTGTTTAATGAATTAATTAAACATGGCTTATTAAAGGTGTCTCTACCCTTTGTTCTATATTTTGGAATATATTTATTCATTGGAATACATTAAGCCAAATCTTAAAGAAGGGAATGATGGGGGGAGCTTAAAAAAAGCAGAAATAAGCAGTTCCCTCCTCTAACTCTTAAACACATGCTGCACATTTCACTGAGGGGCAGGCCGATTTTACTACAGTATCAGAAAACAGTCAATGAGTATTTTTTACTTCACTGATTTACTTTTACATACTTTTACATTTGAAATGTTTCTGGGCAGTTGCTGTCACCTTTGCCAAAGTCCCAAACAGCTGAATGTCTCATCATCACTGAGGTCTGAAGAACATAAGAGGAGCTCAAGAAGATCTGCTCTCTATTACTCTCTCACTTCTGGTCACTACACCTACTGTATGCACCTTCAAAATTAAAATTCTATTTTATTTTATGTATATATATCTTTTCATTATTATTCTTGTCTGTGTTTTTTTCTGACAGCACAACAGATTCCAGATGTGGAGCAAAGAGCGATGGGACATAGTGCACAGTGTGAATTACCATCATATTTGTTTGTTTCCGGCTCCTCCATGCTGGTTAATGTATAATCTTGAAATGCGCACTAGAGGTGTGGTAGATGTGCTTGACACCTTCAGTAATGCATATATTGTCAAGATCTGCGAGATGGTACAGAGTCTAACACCTGCCAGCAAGTGCTCCAGTAGCTCACTTCATACTTGAGGGGAGCTTCTCGGGAAGGATCAGAAATGGCCAAATCAACTGGCATGTCCAAAGCCTTGGCTATTGGCATTGGGGTGATCACAGTTTGTTCTGTTGGTTGTTTAGTGGTGATGGCTGTTTTTTTCCAAATTCAGGTAGGCAACAACAAGCCAACGCCTCCACCAAGGCCAATATTACCTACGCCTCTCCCAACAGATCTTCCAGAGTCTCTTAGACTTCCAGACAGCTTGATTCCTGAAAGCTACAACGTTTTCCTACAACCGTACCTTTACGCGGCGATAACCAACAACTATACCGAACAATCTTACCTCTTCACCGGGAACTCAACTGTAAGGGTGAACTGTACGAAAACCTCCAGCAGGGTCTTTCTTCATGTTCACAATATTAATGTGACGGCGGTGGAAGTGAGAAAATCGGATACCAATGAGAAATTGCCATTGAAGGGATATCAAATTTTCAAGAACGAAACTAATTTCCTTGACATCCATCTTGAGGTTGCGATGAAAGAAAATGGGACCTATGATATTTTTACTGAATTTGAAGGGGAGCTTCTTGAGGACTTGACTGGGTTTTATGCGAGCCGGTACACAGGGAAGGGAACTGATGACGAGGACGAAGAGAGGTAAAGATTTACCATACATTATAGGCTAATAGATTCTTAAAACTAAAAAATAGCAAAACATTTAAATAGGTTGTAGTGGAATGAAAACTTTAATTAGTTAAATGAAATGGATATAAATTTTCACTGTTTATATATTTTTGTGTTCAAATATATTTACTGTTCAGTTAAAAACACCCCAAAAGTCCTTATGTTAATGTAATGTGCATGTCCAATGCAATCTCACAGCAGTTTTTAACTTTTTTCTTTAGTGGCTAATTCTTATAAATTCGTACGATCTAATTTGCACAATTTAGTACGATTTGCTCATCACCCAATGACGGTTGGGGTTAGGGGTGGGGTTAGGTGCCACACCTCCTTTTTAAAATCGTACATTTTCGTATGACTGAACTCGTACGAATTTGTAGGAATTAGCCACTAAACTGACAAAATGTAAAATATTTACGTTTCCTTGTGAGATCAGGCTGGCATGTCATGTTGATTTTAAAGAGTGGTTCTCAACAGTAGTATTCAAGCGATAAAAATTTTTTAATACAAAATGATGTTTTTACACATTTTAACAACCAGGTTGAGGGGTGAATGCATAAACATACATATTTAGTACCAATAAAATGTTTGCCCCTGAGATTTTGATCTAATTTACTCTCTAATCACCAATGTGTACATTTATTGTTTTTACAATCAGATTCAGATTACAGGTTCAGATTCAATTATAAATTCAGTTGTTTATGTAAATTTACCGTATCACATACGTCTCCACAACCAGATTCCTCGCTACCAGCCTGTTGCAACCCACGGATGCCAGGACAGTGTTCCCATGTTTTGATGAGCCGGCGATGAAGGCTGTATTTACCATCACCATTATTCACAGACCAGAGATTAGAGCCCGGTCCAATGAAGATGGAGGTTAGTATTTTTGCTATAAGCAAACTGTCAAACTCGACCAAAGCAAAATCTGATACTGATAAAATATTTATTAGACATACAATTGAAATCAGAGTTATTAGCCCCCCTGTTTATTTTTTCCCCCCATTTTCTGTTTAACGGAGAGAAGATTTGTTTCAACACATGTCTAAACATTATAGTTTTAATAATTCATTTCTAATAACTATTATTTTATATTTGCCATGATGACAAAACATTATATATTTTCAAGACACTTCTATTCAGTTTAAAGTGGCATTTAAGGGTTAGCTAGGTTAAATAGGTTAACTAGGCAGGTTAGGGTAATTAGACAAGTTATTGTATAACGATGATTTGTTCTCTAAACTATCAGAAAAAATATATTGCTTAAAGGGGCTGATATTTTTGGGGCTGCTTTTATTCTAGCCGAAATAAAACAAATAAGATTTTCTTTACAGGAAATAATATTATCAGACATACTGTGAAAATTTCTCTGCTCTGTTACATAATTTGGGAAATATTTAAAAATAGAAAAATAATTTAAATGGGAGCTAATAATTCTGATTTCAACTGTATATTTACTCCTCATGTATCTAACACAGATATAAATCTCAAAACAGGAAGCATGTTCAAATTAAGACTTTGCCTATTTGCAAATCACTTACAAATGAACAAATGAAATCAATGTTTTTATGTCCAGTGGATAACTTTAGCTTTTTTGCTTTATCATCAGATCCACGTACAATACAAATTAACGGAACGGACTGGATTAGAACCACATTCAAGCCCACCAAAAAAATGTCATCTTATCTCCTGGGCTTCATTATATATGATACACATACATTCTCATATGTATCTAAAGGAACCCGGACAAAAATACATGTAGGTTGAGTGCCTGCTTATTTATTACAATTTTAATCATTTCACATCTAATCGTTATTATGTGTTTCTAAGGTACATGGTCGATCAGAGGCTATTGATGCTGGCCATGCTGACTACGCACTGGAAACAACTGAAACCATTCTAAGCCACTATGAGAATATATTTGGACTTCGATACCCAATGTCAAAAATAGGCAAGTCCATTAAAAAAAGAGCAATTGAGGGAGAATAAAATTCACACAAGGTGGATAAAGCACTGAGAAACTGAACAATCAAGGAAAATATTGGTGTAATTGGTGTCATTTCAGCTCAATTTAAATTGGCAGAACAAACAGCAAATGTCATTTTTGAGTGGAGGAAGCCACCAATGCACGTCTGAATCAAAATTCTACCTCACTTCCTGTCTTGGGAGATACCTTTTTCTGATTGAATTTCAAACGAAGCATAAATCTATCTATGCCTCCAGAGTCACTGCCTAATTGGGCATAAAACTTTTGGGTCACACTTTATTTTGATGGTCCATTTGTTGAATTTAAGTTGGTTTGCATCTACATGCCAGCTAATTCTCATTAGATAATGAGTAGATTGTTAGGTTGGGGTTAGGGTTAGTGTAAGTTGACATGTACTTGCAAAGTTTCTTGTAGTTCGTTAAATGTGTGTTGAAGGAGCAGTAGGGGAGATTTGGTGGTTGTAGTATGAACGGTCTACGAGGAAATGCATATAGATACTAGTCTCAGAAGATGAAGAAGATGGAAGAATAATAGGTTTATGTAGTATAACAGTATGTTGCTTTCTCAAGCCTCCATAATTATGTGGAATCCAGCATTACAACATAGGGGACTTTCTATTTAAATACATGAAACCTTATTGTTTAATCAGTTGTGGACATTCTGGGAATCAAAAAAAAAATCTTGCTGTGGTTGCTTACAATTCTGATTTGATTAAGTGGAAGAAACGGGAGATTGTCGGCCAAAATAAACAAACAAAACAGTTTCAGAAACAAGAGCATAGCTAAAAGCAATTATATGAAAGACACAAGGCTCACAAGCAGAACGTGTTTTCTTACAGATCAGATTGCTTTGCCAGACTTCGGTGTCAGAGCAATGGAAAACTGGGGTTTCATTTCATATCAGGAATCAGGACTGCTGTATGATAAAGAGACAGCCTCCACCTTTGATGAAGAACAAGTAACTACACTGATCGCCCATGAATTGGCACATCAGGTAAACAGAATCATATCTTTCATATGGCACTATAAATCATCATCACTGACTAAAGTACAATTTAGGTGATCAATTTCAGTCTCACAAAGTTTACATTCGTACAAATTCATACGTAGCAAAATTTTATTGCCATGTCCACAAACACCACAATCATCGGGTGATGGGCAAATCATAATGAAATGTACGAATGACATTGCAAATTTATATGAATTAACCACTAAATCAAAAAGTTACAAACTGCCGTGAGACTGTGTTAGAATATCATGTGTGAAAGGAAAATGTAAACAGAAATTGAGTTGCTTTTTTAAGACTTCAAAGGTTCACCATGAGCCACAGATATTAAATTAGTCTTATATATGTTTCACTTATTGTACTTTTTACTTTCTATCCTTTAATCTGTTATTCTATGTTGCATTCTTTTATTTGTAATCTGCATTGTGTTTTCTCTGGTGTAGGACTTACATCATCTTAGATCATAAGCTAGGGTTGAGGACCCCTCATATCATACATCTTGTAATAAATAATCTTTACAGTTGCTCCATGTGCTTATTTTCAGTGGTTTGGAAACCTGGTGACCATGAGCTGGTGGAATGACCTGTGGCTGAAAGAGGGATTCGCCACATACATGTCATACAAAGGGGTGGAAGCTGTTGGCTGGGATTTAGTATGTTACCATAATGATTTCAATAAAACACCCACAATATCATTTCATCATTGTCATTTGTTGACAGAATTCATTTCAGGAGTTCAATCATAACACAGCCTCCCCTAATGGAATCATTCTTCTGTGTTTTCAGAAAGATCTAATCGTTCTCAGAGAAATCCAGACCGCCTTTCAAATGGACTCCTTGAACACTTCCCATCCTCTCAGCATGAACGCATATGATGTTCAGACTTCCTCTCAGATCAGCGAGCTTTTTGATGACATCACCTACAGCAAGGTTGGCATGGCGTCTCAATACCATTCTAGAGGAGAATGTCGAAAATGTTGTTAAAACCCTTTTTATATGTTCTCCAGGGTGCTGCTGTGTTGAGAATGCTGGCCACACGCATGGGGGAGAATGAATTTATGAAAGGAGTTAAGGTAAGAATTTAAAAAAATATTTATTCCCATGATGCATTACGTAAATGACAAAATGACAATTAAATTATGTTTGAAAAAAATACAATGGGATAAATATACTATATTTACATCTTAATGATTCATTGGGGGCCGCACAGTGGCGCAGTGGGTAGCATGTTCGCTGGTTCGAGCCTCAACTGGGTCAGTTAGCGAATCGGTTTCCTCCGGGTGTTCCGGTTTCCCCCACAGACCAAAGACATGCGCTATGGGTGAATTGGGTAGGCTAAATTGTCCGTAGTGTATGTATGGGCATGAGAGTGTATAGATGTTTCCCAGTGATGGGTTGCAGCTGGAAAGGCATCAGCTCCGTAAAACATGCTGGATAAGTTGGCGGTTCATTCCTATGTGACGAAAAGAAAATGAATGAATGAATGAATGAATAAATAAACCATTGGTAGTCTGTGTTTGGTAGATTACATGTATACTGTAAAAATCCTGGGTTCCACACAATCAATTTGTGCTGGGACAACATGAAGAAATTGAGTTAACCTAATCCTCATAGTTTTTACAAATTGTGGAAGTGTTGTTTCAGCTCATTTTAAATAAGTCGTTTGAACAAGTAGCAGAAGTCCTTTTTGAGTTTAATGATTTAAAAAATCAGAATACACATATTGTACACAAAAAACATCTATGACAAAAAAGTCGAGACAGCATATTTTTATGTTGTTTTAACTTAATAAGGTAATCAGGCTTTCTTTTTTAAGTTATACAATATTGAACTTAATAAATTTTTAGTCAGTTTGACTGATGCACTGTAAAAAAGTTGAATCAACTTAAAATTTTAAGGCAACCAGCTTTAGGGCATTTTTGAGTTTACTCAACTTAAATCAAGTCAAGTGCAGTACTTGGGTTGAAAGTTGAGTCAACTCAGGCTGTTTACACTAATACATTTTAGTTTTAAAATGCGTAAGATTTGCTACAGTTATGTCTTCCGTCCACACTACCCCGAAGTTTTCGAACCCCAAAAACGAAGCATTTTGAAAAGCTGAAGAGGGTGTTTTCATTTGAAAACACTGCTGCTCCGTGTCAGTTGGGATGGAGGGAAATGGAGGCATGGCTGCAGACATTCACCTATCTGATTGGGCCTTTTTCATCAGTATTAAAGAGCCCATATTATACATAAAAAAGGGTCCTATTACGGTTATATGGGTCTCCAACAACATGCTGATATGCATGCAAGGTCAACAAACACTTTCATGGTCTTTTAATATGCATTTATTTTAACCCAATTATCCCAGCGACTCCCAAACCCCTCCTTAGCGCGAAGCTAATCTGCGCTGATTGGACCGATGACAGCCTGTTGCGATTGGTAGACAGCATTCAGCGGTAGACAAATGCCCATCGCGAGACAAATGCCCAACGCGGTTTGTCAAGCCCCCGGCAGACAGGCCCGCGCGATAACCCCGTGACCGTCATAACCCTGCGCACCGTACAGGAAGTTTGAACGGCACTTAGCAGTGAAAATGAAACGGATAGCGTGCACATCATTTACTGAGCGTGATTTCCGTGACCGAGATTTTCTCCTTTCTCAGCTGTAACTTAGATCATTTCTATTTGCAATTATTGCTGTGGCACCTCTTGCGTGAAGTGTTATATGTTCTCAGGGCTTACCTGTACTTTGCTTTGCCCAAAGATCATATCCCCAGCTAGGGGGTTGTAGTGCTCACCAGCGTGTAGCAGGCTGCCTTTGTGCCTAAAAAACTGGCCTTATTTTGCACGCACCCCTGGTGTATTGTCTGCCCATTCTCACAAGTCTCATACACCAGTCTTTTCTGATCCTTTCTTTAACAAACGAATGAATCACCCACAGTAAGCGTGTAGACTGCTGAATCAATTATTTCCCCTCACACTTCCAATAATATCCAGGTAAGCACAGCGTCTTCTTGACTTATGACTTCAGGATCTGTTTGTCTTTGTGGTTATGTGCAGGTTTAAATTTTCCCGGGTTTGCGCCCATAACAACTATGTTTCGTAGTCACGTCACGCCGAAACGGCTAAAGACTCGTTATGAAGATGATTCATTCTAACCACTATGAGTCGACTCTTTTTTTAGATGAATCAATAGTTTTAAAAACTGTCCACTTTCAGATTTAAGCTTTAGCTGGATATTTCACTTCACTTAGATCTGTGTTACACACTACATGGAAGCTCATTTTCGAAAACCCACAATAGGGGCTCTTTAAGTAAACAAAGTATAGTCTTGCACCCTTTCCTTAAGTTCAAACTTCGCAAGTTTAAACTTAAGGAAATGCAGTGTCAGACACAATGCACTAAATGGAGTGAGTGACATCGCTGTGAGGGGTAGGGTTAGGGGTGGGGTTAGATAAGCGCATTAAAAAGCATTGGATGCAGCTCAGATTGCACTGCACCAGGTCTGCATCCAGACTCCTCTCAAAAACAGTGTACTTTATAATGTCATTCGCATCGCACTGGCTACATTGTTTCACTATCTTAACAATAAACTATGAATAAAATGATATAAGGAACTGCCTATTTTCATTTTGAAATTACCTTAACAGACACTAAAATTGTTACAGACACTAAACATTATTTATACCAGTTTTACTAATCAATAATGGCCATTATAAATGTATAACATACAATAAGTTTCTACTTTACATTAAATAAAGGCAAGCAATCAGTCAAATGTGCAGAATCAGTGTACGTGGTTCATATTTACTTATCTTTGCGCTCAGCCCAAACACGTTACCTGAAAACAAGTGATAGATTCAAAAGATTATCACGTAGAAACAAGGTGAAATAAATATCAAGTTTAACAACTATAGTGGCATGAAATCCAGCAGATCCTTGATGAACTGTCCGACCTGCGCTGCTCTCACATGGGAAGGTTTGCTCAAAGCACCCGCTGACTGCCTCGAGCTCAGACATGCGCATGCGTGATATGCGTTTTCAGGAGTGTAGTGTGGACGAAAAGCTGTTCAGAAATCAGGCCCAGATTGGCTAATCGGGAGCACCGGGAGAAGCACCGGTTCGTTTTTTGGCCGTGAGGGCCGGTGTCCCTAGCTGCTTGCACTCTCAGCAGTCGCACTTTTTTCATCTATTTATTTATTTGACCATAGCTTCACTCTTTTTATTCATTTTTTTGCCGCAGCACCGCTCTTCTTATTTATTTTCTAGCAGCCCCGTGAGCAAAATGCAGCCTGCAGGTTAATTAACGTTAATGATGATGTAGGGTTAACTATCATCATTCGACCCCAAACAGCGAATTTGAATAATTATTATTAATGAATAATACTACATTAATAAATCTGACATAACTTGATCAGAAATCTAAAAAGGGGAGAAAAAGATTAAGCCATCAATAGAAAGTAATACTGTGACTTGAAGTTCACAGTTTATTACTTTTTTTTTTAAATTCTTGCTGCATTAGTGCTATAGTGGATCAGTGGTTAACACATTGCGTTACTACACCGTCCGACCCGTGTTCGATTCTCACCAGGAAAATTAATATTATATTTTTTTTTTCATTTTTATTGTTAAGACATATAATACTGTTAGGGCTTTTGAACATTTGAATTTCTAAAGCAGCTGTTTTCTTGAAAAAGACGTGATAGTGCCATTAGAAACTCAACTGGAAATGATGTTATTTTAATATAGACAGTCGTGAACTGAGGTGGGCCAGTCTGGCTTTAAACTCCAGGGCTGAAAATGAGTCCCTCTCCGGCCCTGTCAGAAACGCTATGTGAAACGCCTGTGTGGACGTGGATTGTTTTCATTCAAAAATGCTGTTCTAAAACTAAAACGTATTAGTGTGAACAGGGCCTCAAAAAGCTCTGCAACAAGTTGCCTTACAATTTTGAGTTGTCAACTTTTTTTACAGTGTGTAAATTGACATGACTAGAAAAGTAAATTCAACTGGGTTCAACTAAAAAATTAAGTCAGCAAGACTTACTTATTTATGGATTTCATTTTTATAAATGATTCCCACAGTGCCAGTAACTTGGTTGGTTATATCTACACTGTAAAAATGATATAACAGTCATGACAACAAATGTTTTTTAAGTTACTTTAACTCTTTTTTAACAAGTTTCAACTTATTTTAATTATATATTTTGTGGCTATACAAAGTTTATATTTTAGTCTCTTTGACTGATGTAATTTGAAATAAAAAGCAAACATGCTGTGCGTTATGTTTATTTAAATTATTATTGAAAGTATGATCTTGACTCTCAATCTAATTGCTACATTTATATGTTTTAGATGTATCTCTCCAAGTTCCAGTTCGAGAACACTGTGCCCAAAGATCTTTGGGAATGCTTGAATATGGTAATTTAAGGACATATACTCTATTTCAAAATAATTTGAGAAGATAATGACAAGTATTTCTTACAATTACCAGGACACACATATTAAAGTGGATGAGTTCATGAAAACATGGACCGAGGAAGTGGGTTACCCAGTACTCACCATTGTTACTGACACCGGAGACACGTCTCAGGAACAATTTTTACTAAAGAAAGAAGGCGGCCATGAGTGAGTTATATTGATTATTATACATTCATTAAATAATGTGGAATTTAAGTGTAATTTTACAATTGGCCCAAACAAAACGATTTCAAGAAAAAAGACCACAGAAAGCCTAAAACATGATTTCTTGCTCCAGGCAGAGACACATCTTCTAATACAGAGTACTTCTACACACAATATCTAGAATGTTTGTAAATGTTACCTGCATTTTTTTAAAAGTTAATTTGTTGGTTAATTGAATTTGCCACTGTAAATTACTGAACTGTTAAGCCGTAATTGACAACAGAATTTAGCTGCAGTTGCACATGTCACTAGTCTTCTTTAGTCAAGCTGATTCTTAATGATTCATTCAACTCTTTATTTTGCTCCTAACAGCTCTTTATGGCATATACCAATCAAATACATGACACTTAAGGCGGGGGTGAAAGAGTTTCCCAATTTTTTTACAGATAAAGGTCCAGGTAAGAAACAAACTTTAATGATTCATTTAAAAATATAAGAAAATACCTGACAAAACAACAATCGCCTCTCGTTGTTTTTTATGAGTAACCCAGCAACTGCTTTCTTACAGATCCAATTCCAGATTTCAAAATTGGCAAAGATAACTGGCTTCTTGCCAACATCAACTGCACAGGCTTTTATCGTGTGAACTACGATGAAGAAAACTGGAACAGGCTTACTGCACAACTTCAAAAAAATCATCGCGTAAGCATCTTTTCTTTTTTTAAATATCTGTTATTAGTCTCATTTCAAATCATTCTATACAATCGAGGGCAGCAACATAACATTGAGCTAGTACACAAATGCAGACTCACTTATCGTGTTCATGTGGTTTGACTGGAAATACCTTATTAAGGTGCTTTTTTATTCTTACGCTTTAAAACGAAAGTCAAAGAGGCAACATTCTAAAAAGCATGTTATTCCATGCATGTTGTTACTCAAGCAAGTTGTAATAAAAATGCTAGACACCTTCCAATTCAAAGCTTGCATGCTGTGAAGGTACAAACCCAAATGCCCTGGCAGTCCTACACAAAATTTGTACTTTCATGAAGTAGTGGTAATGTATGATATATACATCAATTCTAAAAACATACTGGGTTGTATGGCTGGATCCATCTGCTCCAACTGATCTATACTGAAGGCTCTATCTGCTGGACATTATTAGTCTGGAATACACCACAGCCAAAATAAATGGTGTCAGTAAAAAACTCTATAATTTTGGTCAAATATGAGAGAGACTGTATCAGATATGTTTCAAACCTGATTTTGTACTTATTATTACAATATTACTGTTTTAATTTATTTTTACATGTTTTGTTGGGTGGATCTCGGGATTTGTTCAAAATCAAAATGTTCAACAAAAAAAAATACTCGGTTGTTATACCCAAATGGGTCAAATATGGACAAACCTAACTGTTGGGTTAAAAAGTATCATTTAAAGGGACCTATTATGCCCCTTTTTACAATATGTAAAATAATTCTCTGATGTCACTATACTTTGTATGAGAAGTTTCAGCTCAAAATACCACACAAATAATGTTTTATAATTTAATGTTGTATTTGAAGCTGTCCCTTTTAGTCTTTGATAATAATTGTGCCATTTTTATGACGGTCGCTTTAAATTCAAATGAGATTGCAGCCCTTGCATCCCTTTTTGGAAAGAGGACAGGGCTACAAATGCCTATGTGTCAGCATAGTGGCAGATTCAAAAACAAGACTAACGTCCTATGCTAATGAGGGAGAAATTGTCACTAATGGGTGGGGCTTTTCCCCTATAATGAATGATACAATAGGAGAATGTCAAAGTGTTTCTGAAGACTGTTTTCATCAAGTGTGATCATATAAAATGTAATGAATACATTTTACCAATAGAAGCTGGTTATATTTACAGACTGTTGCCCCACAACTGTTTACAACCCTTATAAAAGTGATTTTTGCATAATAGATGCCCTTTAAAATGAATGAAAAAATTTATAATTTTATAAATAATAAGATAAATGGAGTGTGTGCATATACAAAGCTCCAAGCACAAAGTCTGCATCTGCCAAAGGCTGCAGCCATTGAACCAAAACACAGCAATCAATACTGTGTCTGCTACATCAGGGGTTCCCAAACTTTTCAGCTTCTTACTCCTAAAATAACAATGCCAGTGACTTTGGACCGCCAAATTCCTCAATAGACCGGCTATTGTATATATTTATACATACACACATATGTATATACATATACATAAACGTTGTGCACACAAAGCTAGTTTTAGATGCCATAAAGGTGTAAGAAAGTTTAACCTGGTGTTATAAAATCAATCTGCTGCAGTTGACGCTATTGCTGTGCTGTTAATCTAACGTAGACACATCAATCCTGCAAAAAAAAAATATATATATATATATATTGAAAGTCTGATGGCTTTTTATTTGCATGTTGTTGTTTTTTACTATAAAAAAACTACTATTTTTATCTTCTGTGGGTTATGGTTAACATATGATAACTCTAATAGTTTAATCAAATTAATTTGAGTTTGGAAATTACCAAGCAACCCCCTGCCATTGTCCCTCGACCCCCACTTTGGCAACCACTGTGCTAAATGAATTAATGTAAATCTAAAGCGACAGTTAACAAGAAGGCAGCAGTGTTTTTTGCTTTCAAAATAAAATCAATGTATTTGTTTGCCCTTGATGTATATAATCAGAATAAATAGTATAAAGATTTGAGAGTTGATCGTCCAAATCTGAAACGTTATCGTTATCGCTACCAATCAAAATTCCTTTATCAGTACATCCCTTAAGTAAATACACACTGTAAAAATGCAGGGTTCCACACAATTCAGTCATGTTTTCCAAACACAAATGAAGTTAACAACAAATTTAAGTGGGTTGAGCATAAAAAATTAAGTTTCCCAAAAACATCTCCATAATTGTCATGTTCATTTTATCAAGTCATTTGAATAAGCAGCCTAAAATCGTTTTTTGAGCGTAGCAATGTTTTTAAATCTGTAGATATACAGTGGTTAACATTTGAAATGGATTAAAACCTTTCATCAAAGTTGTCCTAAAATTAATCACCAACACACATTCTTGTCTTGGCTTCAGTTTCGAAAAACATTTTTGTTCCACTTCAATTGTTGACTACTGTATTCATGCAGAAATGTACATTATCGATCTTGTGTAGAAAAATCTATTGGTGTTTATAAGTTTGTGTGAATCTCTTTATATTTTACAATGAATCGCTCAATGCCTCCTCGTTTGTAAGTCACTTTGGATGAAAGCATATAAAACGTTCATGAAGTAAAATTACAACAAATTATTTAGAGCTCCAATACAATGCCAGTAATGTTGAATGTTTTGAATCTATCTTTAGATCATTCCACTCATTAACCGAGGGCAACTCATTGATGACGCTTTCAATCTTGCAAGGTACTTTTTTTCATTTTGCAAATATACTAAAGAAATATATTGTTAACTGATTTGTTGCTGCACATTAATCGCTAATATTTCTTTGAAGGGCTCATCGTCTCAACGTCACTATTGCGTTAAATCTAACCAAATACCTGATAAATGATTTGGAGTATATCCCATGGGAATCAGCACTGAAAAACCTGGACTTCTTTACCCTTATGTTTGATCGCTCCGAGGTCTACGGTCCAATAATGGTGAGCCTAAGGAAAGGAGACTAAACTTAATATGTACACACCAAAAACACCATAAAAGCTTTAACTTTACATTTCTATGTTTAGAAATACCTACGAAACTTGGTCACACCATTATATGAGGAATATGAGGAGTACACAATTAACGGAACCATTCCAATAGAGAAGTACACTGACCAGTAAGCATTGTTTTTGGTTTTGCTGTAAATACATTTAAAGACAAAAGTATTTGAATTCTTTTTTTTAAATACAGTGGGGAAAATCAGTATTGAACACGTCTTGTTTGTATTTCCTGGGAATAATGTTTCTAAAGGAGCAGTTGACATGGAATTGAACCACATTTTGCAAAAAACCCAAACTATGCAAACATTAGAATAGAACAAAACAAAGAAAATCAGAAAAATTAGTTACAGTATAATAACAATGAAATGACACAACGAGAAAGTACTGAACTACTGAAACGTGTTGTATACTGTAAAAGGCTTTTTTGGTAATGGCAGCTTAAAGACGCCTCTCATATGGAGAATGAAGTCACGTAAATTTCTCAGGTGTTATTTTGTTCACTTCAACAGCGTGTAAAAATCTTGATGGCTCAGTGGGTCTCATCTAGTAAATCTGGTCTTTATTTTGTATTCTATATCGAATACAAGTCAGGTGATGGGCTGCGCCATTCTACAGCTTCATTTTCTTTCTCTGAAAGCATTTGAGAGTTTCCTTGGCTGTGTTTTGGATCATTGTCTTGTTGAAATGGTGTCAACCCTGGTGTCAACTTCATCATCCTGCTAATGTAGATGTTGGACTGAATCAGTTTATATTAATTTACAATGACGAAGAGCAGAGGTATTGCTGAAGAACTACTGGGAGATTTTAGCTGCTGTCTGGGCTTTCACTGCCTTTCTACACCTCCCTTTCTTTATGTGTTCAATATTTTCCCTGCGTCATTTCATTTTATTACGCATAACTTAATTTGTTAATTATTTATTTTGAATTGTGATTTGTTTTCTTTGCATATATGGATTTCTTTGGAAGTTATCGACATTTAGGGGGAAATTTAAAGTCAGCAACACCTTTAGAAATATGTTTTCTGAGAAAAATGGTTACGTGTCCAATACTTATTATCCCCTCTGTATATCCCAATTGGTGATTAAAAGAGCAAGAACATTTATACACAGTACATCCTTTTCTTTCTTTCTTTTTTTTTTACTTCTGGAGAAAGTCTATTTCTTTTAGTTTGGCTGGAATAAAAAATACTTTAAAAAATGCTAAGGTTGATAGTATTATTATTATGGTCTTTTATTTGTGAGACTCAAAGTTATTATTATTAAATTTTTTGTCTTGATTGGCTACAGAACAAACCACTGTTGAATTTCCTAAAACAGATCTTGCCTAGTTATCCCAATTAACCTATAGTTAAGAGTTTAAATTGCACTTTAAGCTGAATACTAGTATCTTGCTAAATAAATAGTAAAATAATATGTACTGTTATTAGAACTTAGTTATTAAACTATTATATTTAAATATGTGCTAAGCAGAATTTAGGAAATCATTTTGAAATAATACATTTCACAAGAGAGTTAACAATTTAGTCTTTAACTGTATATTTTGCTGAACATCTATCAATAATGTGTATTTTCTTTTCCTCAGGTGTAACCAGGTAAATGCTATTACCGTGGCCTGCAGCAATGGACTTCCTGAGTGCATAACAATGGCTAAAGATCTATTCAGTGATTATAAAAATGGCTCTAACCCGTGAGTTCCATCTTTAAGATTACACAAGTTTACTGTTCTACAAGATAAATAACATTACATAAGCAATACTGACTTGAAGGCTTAAGGAATGTTGTGGTTTTACACTTAGGATTCATCCGAATTTGAGGAGAGCAGTCTATTGCAGTGCCGTAGCTTCTGGCGATGAGGATGATTGGGAATATGTTTGGGAAGAATACCAAAAAGCCACGGTCGCTGCCGAGAAAGACAAATTAAGATACGCACTGTCGTGCACAAAAGAAATCTGGCTACTAAACAGGTCAGGAGGGGAGATAAAGACTTTTATATCACCTCAACAGCCACATTGTTTACTTCATATTCATATTATTGCCGTTTATAATCCCACAGATATCTGCAATACACTCTTGAGCCTTCAAAGATAAGAAAGATGGATATGGTGTCCACCATAAGCTACATTGCCCAAAATGTCGCCGGACAGCCTCTCGCATGGGATTTTATTCGTGGTCATTGGTCCTATATTACCCAAGAGTAAGTTCAAATCAAATTCTTCAGTTCTGCAGCTTCCACTAAGTCTTTTTAAGACCATCAAGAATTAAATTTCATACTTATACAGGGCTAAATGCTAAGGATTTTTTTTACTTGCCTCATCAAAAAAAACTAATTATTTATTTCTTAGCCACATATTTTAAATATTGTGTCAAACAAGCAGATCCTAGTTGAATGCACACTCATTTTTTTCCTTACTGAAAAAGAATTTAAAAAACAATCATAAAATACCCACAACATTTAGGTAGCATGGTAACATGGGTAGCTTTCCATAAACAAAAGAAAATTAAGGCTCGTTTAAAAAGATTTAAAACCTACAAGCCAATAGTTTGATGAATTTGAGAATTTTTCAGACCTAAAATTTTGCTTTTGAAATTTAAGACTTTTAAATTTAATACATTTAAGTCGCAGACACCCTGTTTGTGCATGAAAACAGGACACATTTGAGTAAACCGATGTAAAAAAAATACTTTCAGATCAGTTTACCACAAAACAATTATGAAAGCTTGTTTTCAATGCTGAACAAAATATACAAATCTTGCAATTGTCACACATCCTTTTTTGACTTTATAACACACAACTGTGAGTTATAAAGTCAGAATTGATGACATATAAATATGCTAATGTAGCTTTATAACTCAATTGTAAGTTCATAACTTACAAATGTAAAAGTAGGAAGTCGAAGGGCCCTATCATACACCTGGCGCGATGTGGCGCAAGGCGCGACGCAATTGTGTGTTGCTATTTTGAGAAACTATAATACACTGTTCTTTAGACCAGAACAAAGCCGGTCTATTGTTTAGCGCAGATCGCGTTAGTTGTGCGCCTCACTTACACACTGCTTAATACACACAGGATGTACAGCAATACGCAAATATCTTTACATATGAAAAAGAATTAAAGTATTAAGGATATATAATAAGGATATATATAGGATAAAAATATAAAGGATTAAAATATTACAAAACATCTTTTTTTCTAACCTACATAAATAAATAAAAAACATACGTCATGGCTTTCTTTATCTCGGGGGGCTTTTTCGGTTCATTCATGACAATTTGCTTTTGAATAATGTTATCATTATAAACAGTATTATTTATTATATCCCTATTTATATTTGTTTTATTAAAAACATGCTTAGATTTTCCTACCTGCAGGTTTAGACCATATGGGACACAGCATGTGCTTTAGGATATAACTCAGTTTTTTGACCACACTTTGTTTATTATTGTTCATTTATTCGTTTGCTGAAAATTAGAACTGAATCTAGAAATAGTTTTGAAACAAATATTTGCGCTTAACAAACGAAATTAATTATTTATAGCCCAATTGATGTCTGTGCATACAAGGTTTCCCTATCCACGAAAGCAAAAGTGAAAGTAGATCACACTTACTTTACGTCATGTAAATAACAAATGCGATATGGCGCGACGCAACTGACTCTTAAAGGGAATGGGAAATGAGACTCTGATTGGTTTATTCTCAAAACACACCTATAAACTTATGATTAAGAAAATTATAAATCTAAGATTATATGATTATGATTAATAATTATAACTATGTTTAAGAAAATAAGCTCAACCCTTTTAGACCATGCTCCACAGCGCAAAGCGGATTTTTCTGTCCCTATTTTAGCAAAAGTGGATTCTGACACGCCCTAAATGCATTAGCCCCATGCGCTTTGCACTTTGCGCATGGACCGTCAAAATAGAGGCCAAAAAGTCATAATTTCGAGTATCTGTGGATAAATTATGATTATGTCTTAATAACTAGCAAATATCAGTCCAAATTTCACTTTTCAAAGAGTGAATTGTAAATTTAAATTCATGATTGCTGGTAAATGTATAAATTGCAATTCCAATTTTCTTTTTTTTTCTTTTTTTTTTCTTTTTAATAAGTTCTTCCATTAAAAACAATGTAAATAATGCAGGCAAATGATATCACATTCACTGTAAAATCAACCAGAGCAATTAATTAAATGAAAAGAGTTTTATTTGACTTGCATTTTTCAATGAAAGTTCATTGAAATTAATACAAACAAGTCATGTGAACTCAAAATTTGAATTTACTAGACTGAACATAAACTGAATGAGCTCACCGAACCATGCAGATTTGTAGTTCCCAGCATGATTTGTAACTGAAAAATAAATGTAAAAAACATTATTTAGACTTTAATGTTGTGTTATGTTGACATTATCAGAGGTTTCTGTAAAAAACATTGTAAAACTCTACTAAGATTACAGATACAGTTAAGTTAACAAAACTTTAATGGTTAATGACACTCATATAAGGAATTTTTTTATACACTGAAAAAAATAAAACTTAACAAATTACTTTACTTGTTGCATTAAAATAAATTAAGTTTGACAAACTTAATTTATGACAGTTTTCAGTAACAACTTTAGTTCTTTTAGGTGTAACACGTTTTAGTAATTTATGGCAAGTAAAAGTATTGTTCAGTAATATAGCATTATATTAACATGGGGAGGAAAATTATTATTTGTACTGTAATACATGTATCATTACTATTATTATATTAACATGGCAAGGAAATGATTTATACTGTTCTGTATGGACTGTTACATTCTTCACAGTAAAAAGAAATTAGTTACTTAAAGTGAATAAACCAATTGCCTTAAAAGCAACAAGCTGACTGTACAAAAATAATATAAGTAAACCCATTGTAACTTGGAACCATTAAGCTTACTTAATTATGCTTATTGTAGCTACTTCTAAGGTCAACTAATCCTTTTTCACAATGACAAACTATTTTAGCATGTCTCTTTTTAAATAATTACTGCAGTTATTACAATTTTACATATTTGGTGCTTCATTAGGTCTATAAAATCTACAATTATAGCCTGTATTGAATTTAAAATACATACTGGAGTCTGGAAGAGCAGGTTTATTTTTGTTACTGTCATTTTGCTAAATACAGAAAACCTGAAAAAAAATTATAATAAATGTGTATTGGAAAAAGTGATTAGTTTACTTTTATATAAAAAAAAAAGTGAATACAACTTGCATAATAATAAAATTAAGTCAACTTAACTGTTCCAAGTTACAATGGGTTTACTTACTTTATTTTTGTTAAGTCAACTTGTTTCTTTTAAGGCAACTGGTTTACTCGCTTTAAGTAACAAATCATTTTTTACAGTGTTGTTCTCTTAAATAAATGACCAAAACTTGTTACACCTAAATAAACTTACTTAATTTATAACTAAAAACTGTCACAAATTAAGTCAGTCAAACTTAATTAATTTAATTGTGACAAGTCGAAGTACTTTGTTTAAGTTTTTGCTTTTTAAAGTGTATATCAGTAAGAAAACCTAAAACAAAAAAGTTAAATTTACTTAATTGAATTAAGGCAGCGAGTTTGCACAATTCATTCAAGTAGACTTAACAGACGTATATTTACAGTGTACATTCAACTACTTTCTACACTGTAAAAAATGTTGTGTTCCACAGTTTCTTCACAATTTGCCCCAACACAAATGGATTAAATTAACTTAATTATTTACAAATTTAAGTGGATTGAACATAAAACAATCAAGTTGTCCTCGAAAAGACTTCAACAATTGTGTTGTTTCAATTCATTTTAAATGAGTAGTTTGAAAAAGCAGCAAAAGTCTTTTTTTTTAGTGTATTCTCTCTCGTGCATATTTTCAGCAAACGTGAGAATGTTTAGTTGGTCTCTTTGGCCTGAACTGAAATATAAATATGAATTGCCACAGCAATAAGGAAGCAATAACACCCAAGTTACATAAAAGTATCAAAGATCAGCTGTAGTTTGGAGTCCAAAGGCTACTTTCAGCTATAAATGAGCAATAGTCTGAAATTGTCTTGAACGTTTCATATTTATCTCAGTTACTAGGAAACCATAAATATATGGACTTGCAACTAACAATCATCTTTTCTGACGCAGGTATGGAGCTGGAATCATATCTTTAGGTAGTCTATTAGATGTTGTGACCAAAAGATTCTCCACAGAAGTCGAACTCGAAGAGGTGATATTGTCATTTATTTATTTATTTGGTTACTTTAGATGATAAAATGGCGATATCTAAATCCAAAATTGTGCTTCTGCCCCACTGACGATTCAAAATTGTTTCTATGCAGCTGAAGCAGCTTCAGAGGGAGCAGATACAGGACGATAAGTGGATAGCAGCTCGAGCTTTGGAGCAGGTCATTGAAAGGACAGCGGCCAACATTATTTGGGTGAAAGAAAACAAGCAGGTTGTTAAGGACTGGTTCATTGCGGAGCTGTAAATTATTCTTTTTTGTGAGTCTGCAAAATTGGAGTATATGAAGCGGAGCCAATACAATCACAAACAGATGTTAAGGCAAACCACAACAAAAGCAACACCCTCCTGTGATTCTGAGGTGGTTTTGAACCACCGCAACTTTTGGAAGAGAAGAACAAAAAATGTCTGCATGACACTTTCCTTTTGGAACATGAAGTAGTTCATAACGAATATATGATGTATTCTTAAGAAAAAGGCCAAAAATGAGTCAAACCTTAAGGATCAATTAGATTTTTCTGTCTTATGATGTAGTTTTCTAATATAGATACTCCTGGTTCAGTATTGTTTACAGTGATGAAATCACATGAGCACACAAACCAAAAAAAAAACATAAGCACAATGCACTGTATTTTATGTTTTTATTTGTATATAGTTGAATCAGATGAAATATTAACATCCATGAAAGCATGTTCTTTTGAAATATTAACTTTTTATTAAACTAAAAAAAAAAAAACTAAATTCTGTTGATCACTGTGATCTGTAATTATATTAAAAAGTGAATAGCAAAGTTTGTGATGAGTTTTCATAAGACTGAATATTTTTATTACATTAAACATGTAATTATTTAAATAAAGTGGCAATTTTTTACACAACTGTTTCTTTTGATGCATATATACTATATATTAGGGGTGCTCGACACAAGCAGAAGAGTGTTTGATTCTTCTTAAATTTTTTCTTTTGCAGAAAGTCTCATTTCTTTAGGTTTGGTTGAATTGAAAGCAGTTTTTTTATTTATTAGATAAAAAAATAGAGGGCAATATTATTAGCCCCTTGAAGATTTTTTCTTTCAATTAGCATCAATTATATACTGTAAATACAGAGTCAAGTCAAGTTACATTTATTCATCCAGCAAGTTTAATGTTATTATTATTATTATTGTTATTTTACCGGAAATTACACGGGCTTCTCCAAAAAGGTAACAAGATGATGTACAGGAGGCATCAAAAAAAATTTTAAACAAAAAACATCTTTTAGCTTTTATTTACCTTTAAACAAGAAGTGGCGTTCAGAATTAGCCAGGGGTTTTATTAACTTCAGATAAAAGCACAGTTAACCAAATCAAGAAAAATATATGAATGGTTATTCTGTACAATATAATATTGTGATGTCTACATTTCCTTAAAGCATTTAAAATGACTGATTTTAATATTTTAAATTAATGCAGAAAGGGCAACATGGTGGCTTACTGTCACATAATTACAGCATGAAGGTCGCTGGTTCGAGTCCCGGCTAAGTCTGTTGGCATTGATGAATAAAGGGACTAATAAAATAAAGCTGCTAGAATGGCCTAGCCAATCACCTGACTTAAATCTAATACAAAAAAGAACTAAAGATTAGATTTGATTTGAAGACTTTGTTGAAGTATGGGGGGGGGGATACATGTGACTCCATTCTCCATACACTGTAAACCCTAATGTTGTCTCAAGATGTTTTAACTAAACATTACTTAAATCATTGTATTTTGGCACCATAACTTGTTAATATTTGTTAGATAACTTATTGACCTTTGAAAAACATAAACCCAAGATTACATCATCATTATCATCATCATCATCATTAATACTTTTAAATTAAATATAAAAAAAAGTATTATTCACAAATTTTGACACTCTTTTCTTTGATTGGCCATACAAGGAGCTCTGTCAAGAAGTCCCACTATGTAAAACTGAAATAAAAAGTATTATTAATAATGCAGTTATCAATCTGTGGTAAGAGGACTGGAATACAGAATCAAAGAGAAGACATTTCTATAACATCCAATCGAAAGTGGGGAAAGAAATGAAGGTGTATGGAAACAGGAAAGAAGACACTTAGTCTCCATATAGGTCACTCCAATCTTAATTGTTGACTGCACTTAGTACTTAAGTTTTGTGAACTGAACAATTTAAGTATAATCTACAAAACAAGCAAGTTAAATAAACTTAAATATGTTTTGGGAGACTCTGTTACTCATATTAGATTGAGGCAACGAGTTTACTCAGTTAATTTAGTTCAGTCAACTTATTAGGGTTTTTAGTGTACAAAAGGAATCTCATTACAAAAAATGTTTAAAAACATTTCAGGAACTTCTCCTTGTCTTATTCCATTGTCAATAAACATCATTTTTTTCAGGCTTTTTTGTTTTGGTTTATTTGTATGTTTGGGCTTTTACCAAAATCTGGGTCAATTTCATGTCAACAGCTCCTTCAGAAATATATTTAACAGAAGAAATCATGACGTGTTCAATACTTACTTTACCTGCTGTACATATATAAAATACTTAATGCATACAAGTTGCTATTATAAAATGGCACTTTTGCTTTTTATTTGTAATATTTCCACATGCTAATATAGGAATACTGATTGTGTGGTGTAAATACACAGAAAAGGCACTGTGATGCAGTCCTGGAAGCTCAAGGGTGTTGTTCAGTCATCCTAAAAACAGGAGATAACACAACATAAAACAGATGTCAGACTTTGCATGAAGCTCCAACAAATCCTCCATTGAATCATTGAATTTCTTTGATTTCATAACAGGAAGTGGTAGAAAGATTACACATCTGTTCATGATCAACCCATGTCTCGAACGAATCCTTTATGCGGTCAGATCAAAACATATTCAGTTAAACAGAAAAACGTACCCATTCATCATCGTCCGCTCCCTCACCCTGAGCGGCACTTTTCCCTGTATTTTCCTGGTTGGATTTGTTTGCCATTATTTTCTCTGTCCACGATGCCCCGGCGTTTTCATCTCCAGCAAAGTTGCATTTTGTTACTGTGCCGCTGTCCAATTTGGCGAAGGAAACTAGATGAAAACAGAGAGAACAGGAGTTTTTCAAGCAATAAATCAAAGAAAGTGTAACAAAGTTTGAATTGATCTTTCGCTCATTATTATGTGTCCTGTTTCATGTTTTGTTCACTAAAAATGACTATACGTTATTTTTATGTTGGTCACACTTTACAATAAGGTTCATTAGTTAACGTTAATTAATGCATTTACTAACATGAACAAACAATGAACAATACATCTACTACTGTATTTGTTCATGTTAGTTAACGTTAGTTAATGAAAATACAGTTGTTTATTCTTAGTTCATGTTAACTCATGGTGCATTAACTAATGTTAACAAGCATGGACTTGGATGTCAATAATGCATTAGTAAATGTTCAATTATGATTAATAAATGCTGTACATGTTGTTCATGATTAGTTCATGTTAGTAACTGCATTAACTAATGAACCTTATTGTAAAGTGTTACCATTATGTTTTACCAAACAAAAAATGTCCAATAAAGTGTCATTCACTGAAAATGCGGTTTAATTACAAAAAATGATTGCATGTTATATTAAAAGACTCTATTTAAAAGGATAGTTCTCTGAAATATTAAAATTTACACAAAATTTACTTCACTTTAAGTGGTTCCAAACCTTTATGACTTTTCTTTTTTCTGTTAAAGACAAAAGAAGATATTTTGAAGAATGTTGGAAACCTGTAACTTTTGACTTCCATGTAAAAAAAAAGCAAATACTACAGAAGTGAATGGATACCACTTTTCAGTATTTTTCAAAATACCTTTTTTGTGCGTTTAACAGAAAAAAATGCTCAAACAGGTTTGTGAAAAATGAGTAAATACTGACAGGATTTCAGTTCTGGGTGAACTGTCCTATTTTGGGCATTTTTTTAAAGTCTTTATGCTTCTATCTTTCAAACAACTTTTTATCATTTAAAACATAGTAAGATTCAGAATTATCACATATTATTTATTTATATTATATAAATTATATAATTACATATTATATAAATTTATATATATTATATAAATATTAATACTGGGTCCGTTCTTCGTACCTCGCTTAATTGATCTAAGATGATTTAACAGATCCTGGATTTTTTATTCTTGGTAACTGATCTCTGGCTGATTTGGTTCTTCAAACAAGTTTGCGAATCCGATTAAAATGTCTTTATAAACTGATCTGAGATCTATCGATCCACGAAATCCTGATCAGCAATGAAACAATTGGCTGAAGGCACAGCAGTATAATGACATCATCTGATTAATATTCAAGTATATATGTGAGTAAAATTACATAAAATTTATAGTAAACGATTTGCTAAATATGATACGCGATAACTTTCCACCTTTGTTGGGGGCTGCAGGCCTTACACTTTCATGTGTCAAGAGTACTTAGTTATTTATTTAGTTTTACATTTACAGCAGATGTTGTTAATATAGAAGCCTAGGGCTATTCAAGTTTCTTAATTGGCATAAGGAATAACTGGCTGTTTAAAAATGATTTTGCATCAAAAAAGCATTTTGATATCAGTAAAGGTGTCTGCAACATATTAGCTAGCAAAGTCATATTAGCTATCAAAACATGTGCATGACTGCATAAATTATTATTCCTTAAAGAAAAACAGTTGAATATTGTGCTTGTCTATTATTATACACAAATTGTACTAAAGCTGGTAACTTAAAATAGTGCGCGCTTGTGTCTAAAAAGTCCATATTAATAAATGTTGCTATTACAACAACTCTCGGATGAGTTTTGAAGAACTAAACGATCCTGAATCGTGTCAAATCGTCAATAACCAAATCCAGCTAAATGAGTAATCCATGTATGAAGAAGGGACCCGTTCAGCATAAGTATATTGTTTAACTTTTCATAAATATCTCTTTAATTCTAAATGATGATGGGACATTATTTCACCAATATTTTGACATTTTATTTTAATCTCCTTATTTTAAACTCCAGCATTATATAAGATTAATATGTACATTATATTAAAATTACTTTTGGAAACTGAGTTTGATGTGGACACAAAAATGAGACATCTCATATTCTATTTCCTCACATATGAATGGCCCATCTCCTTTCGTTTTAAGGCGGACTTCTTGGCCGGGCTCAAGCTCTGTTTTGTCCATCTCCGCCTCTGAGATCCAGAAAGCAAAGGCCTCACGAGGACAATGTTTTATGGTTACTTTAACCAGCTGCTCCTTATTCACAATTTCACGAAGCTGGCGCTCATCTAGACAATCTGTTTCACCTTTAGCTTCCACTTCTGCAACAGAAAAAAACATTTTTTCATGAATCAGCTAATTATTTTTATATAAAGTATTTCTTAATGTTTAATTACTGTATTGTACAACTGAAAGATGGTAGAACATTAATAAAACTTGCTTAATTAAATTCAGATCTGAATAAATGCACATTATGGTCACTCACTGAAGGAGGACATCAGAAAACCTGTGTTGACCTTCTTGGTATCACTGAAATTAGGTTCAATTTCGTTTCCTTTTGAATCATATTTTCTACGATGGACACGGCTTGGTTTGATGTACAAAACATTATAACGCTCCTGAAAACAAAAATATTTAATTAGAAAGAAAATATAAACTTTTAAGTCAATAAAAACTTATTTAATTGTTAATTTATTTTCTTTTCACCTTAGTCTCTTTATTAATCAGGGGTCACCACAGTCAAGTAATATAGTGAAATGTTATGTTCATTTTCAGTAAAAATGTTTTCAATTTTAACCATTTTTTTCTGTGATGCCAAAACTGATGTCTTATGTGTATAGTTAAGTATCTTATAGTATTTGTTAGTTA